ATAAAATTAAAATGTATAAAATATCTACGCATACAGTTTCGTTAATGTTAGGCAATAGATAATAAATAGTAAAAAGAGAAGATTAATATATTAAATAATTATATTAATAATAATTAATAATATATTAAATATTAAATAATAGTAGGAAATATTGGAATATGATGAGTGGGTTCATTGATAGACTTGAAGATAAATGACAAAGATTGGTAAATCCTTATGATTTATCCAGCTATTTTTTTAATATATTATATGCGGTCAAAATACACGTGGCTGTCCTTTGCGGTTACTTGTATATGATTCGTGTATCTTTTCGCGCCAAAAATATTCCATTCCTGCTACCTGCTACCTGGCATTTCAAAGTGTTTTTACGAAGAATTGTTCAAGCGAAAATCGTTCCATCTCTATTGTTTCACTTTTGGAAAAAATCAATAGTTGATTTTAATCATATTAATTGCAATTTTTCTGTAGGCCTGCATATATACGTATATATATATACATATATCAATGACATGATAATAATATCAATGACAATAATCTAATCTTATATATATATATATATATATATATATATATATATATATACACACACACACACACACACACACACATATATATATAATCATATACATACATATATATATATATATATATATATATATATACACACACACACATATATATAATCATATACATATATATATATATATATATATATATATATATATAAGATTAGATTATTGTCATTGATATTATATTATTGCACATAAATGAATGTAAATAAAAATTGCAGAACAACTGAAGATTATTGTCTAATGATTAAAGATTTTCAATCGTTGTTAGACAATCATGTATTATATATTATTATATTTGTAAGAGATACATTTCTAATCATGAATAAAATTTTTTATGTGCAGAAGATTTATTCAATCATGAGATAGGAATGCACGTAAAGGTTTTAAGCCCGATTGCACCAACGTTATTTTAGCTTTAAGCAAAACTTAAAGATATGTCTGTCTTTATTTATTTAAAAAGATAAAGCTAGACATATATTTAAATCTCGCTTAAAGCTAAAATAATGTTGGTTACCGGGCCTTAGTCAAAGCGAGTTTTCCTTAAAAGAAAAAGACAGAAAAAATTCCCGTACCTTTTTGACGCCGATCTCATACAGCGAAACGCACTGGGTTTATATTGTAAAAGCAAGTAATACTTATATACTGGGTGTTAAAAAAGTCTGGACACGGTCGAATATCTCGATAAGGAAGAGTTTTACTAGAAAGTGTTTCAGACAAAAGTTGTATGACTTCGAGGGAGACATAACATGGTACCATTGGTTTGATCTTGAAGAGTTAATTGAAGATTACATGAAGGTCACCTTCAATTTCTTAAATGAAATATTATATTTTTTATTACATATTTTTGTAGCTGACTTCGAGAGCTTTCACATAATTGTTTCGAAAAAAAATGTAAAATGCAATTAACCATTTTTTTCTTAAAAATAACTATGTGTTTTTTTTACACCAATTGATTCCTCTCATTATTTTGTACATAAAAGTATTAAGGTGAGGTAATCGAAAAATGAATATTTTAAAAGATATTTTACGGTTTATGTAAAATTAAGAAATTATTTCAAGCTTCGTAACTCGAAAAATACTTAACGAAAACTAACTTAATTATAGTGTTTTGGAAAGCTCTCGAGATAAGCTATGTAATGAAAAAGAGTAAGTTCCGTTTAAGAAATTGAAGGTGACCTTCATGTGATCTTCAAATAACTCTTCAAGATCAAAATACCAATGATACCATGTTATGTTCCCCCTCGAAGCCATACAACTTTTGTCTGAAACACTTTCTAGTAAAATTCTTCCTTATCGAGATATTCGACCGCGTCCAGACTTTTTTAACACCCAGTATAACCGTTCTTATAATACTTATAATACTTATAATAACCGTTCTATAACTCTTATAATATAATATATAATTTTACGTTTCTACAAAAAGTAAGAATTTTATTTATATGTTACACACACATATGTATATATTTAAAATCCACATATTAGATTCCATACATTTGACGTTAAAGCAATTCATAAAGAAACCAAAAAATTCTATTTAGAAAAATTTTGTAATTTTTTTTTATTATGTTATTATTTTATGCTATTATTTTATGCTATCGTTCTCCATTTTAAACGCGCACTTATCTATTTTAGAAAATTAGCATAAAGTTGATGTATGAATTATTATCATTGCATTCTATAATATTTACAAAATGCAGGATAAAAATAGAATAATATGCTTAATGGAATAATGGAAAAAATATATATATTATATTCTTCAATTTATATTAAAATCTCTTTTATATTAAAATCTCTACGCGAGCAATTGTATTTTATATTAAAACTCTCTAAATATCGATAAAATTCAATTTAAGTTAAGCATATTTATAAAAGTAATGCATGATATATAAATGATATATATGAGTAATTTAAAATAAGATAGCATATCACATAGATTAATATTATTATTATTTCATATTATTTGGAAAATTATTTTAAATATCGACGAATATCTCTTATATTACTCAAGGGTAACGATTTTTTTTATATTTTTATATTTATTTTCGCTCGACAGTAGAAATCAGCTGTGCAGGGAAATGACATTAGGCAGAGACTAACAAATTCTTACATCAATTTGCTTTCGTAGAATTGCTAAATATTAATAGTCATGAGTTGGCATGATCTCATTGTTAGAATAAAAGTAATCTCGGAATGCAAAGAGAAAAAAGCAAAGAAAGAAGGAAACAAAAAAGAAACAAAATGAAAGAGATTTAAAAGAAAGCCAAAAATAAGCTAAATGTTCTCTCAACATTCCAAATTTTCCTTGTACGAAAGAGAACTGGCGATGTCATACGTACGCATTTTATGTTATGAGTTTTTACGTATTCTTCTCACAATCATTTATCTTCATTTATCTCTCTATACGAGCGGAAATAAAAAAAAAATCACAATTGCTCAGAGAGACAGAGTAATGCAGATCGAGACTGCATACTAACCCAAGAATTTGCTATAGGATTGTCAACAATGTTAATAAAATTATGATAGAAAGAGAAAAAGAGAGAAAAGGCGAAAATCTTATTTATGTCTATTCCTGCATTTTCCTCATAAAATATTCTTGTTTTTCTACGTTATTATCTATACATTTATTTTACTTGTTAACTCACGTAAAAGTATGTATGAAGATCAGATCCACATCTGGGGTAGATCACTCTATGACGATGGTCGCCGAATGAGAAAGAAACCAGGAATTTCACACTCAAGGCAATATTTCCGAAAAGAATATATATAGAATATAGCGTTCTTTTACTATCGGACTTCAGGTATGCGACTGGCCCATTCTTTGCATTCTCTACAAGCAAGGGCCAAAGGTTCGATGACCTCTGGAAGGACACTAAAAAGCCCTAATTCTATCGCATTCTAGATGTTTGAAAAAATACGAAAAAGAGCTCAACGTGTTTCGTTTTGCACAAAGAAAAAAAATATAAATTAATGATTTTAGAAAACAATTTGAAAAAGCTGACTTATTCTTTAGTTCCTTATCCGTGAATTAGTATTAAAGATGTATAAAATCTCTATGCATACAATTCTGATAGTATATCTCACAAGAAGTAATAGATTGAAAAAGAGGAATGATACTAAGACAGATGCAGACATGTAGCTTTGATTCAATAAAATGGTTGTTGTACTAAGAAATTTAGGATATATACTGTATACGGCACACAAAGTTAACATAAAAATTATTTAATGCAATAAAAAAATTTTATGCAACACAAATTTTAGAAGAGTATAATGTAAAGCTATATGTTTCCATAGCCATATAATTTTGAATTAATAAATTAGAAAGAAATTTTTTTACGTATTATGGTTGTAAAAATTGCATATGAGAGAAATATTGAAAGAAAATTGAATGTTTTTCTCTTTGTTGTAAGTGATGGAATAATTTGTCTTTTTAAAATTACTAAAAAAATTTAATTTTGATGTGCATCAATATATATTCTTTTCTTCTTGTTCTTACATATACAATAATTTCATGATTTTTGTACTCAGACACAACATTGACTTCTTATTTTAGAGATATTCTATATTGTTAGTATCTATATATAAATTACAATACATTAACTTTACATATTTTTTTATCACATGTATATGGACATATCAGTATTAAATAAATTGTGCCTCTTTTGTACATGTTTTGATAACTTATTTCACGTAATATTATTTAAAGTTGAACATAAGGCACAATAAAAGATTTTACATAATTTTGTAATTTGTCTTATTGCTGATTACTAAAAATTACTATATCGACTGATTTTTATTGTGTTCTACTTACATTTTTTCAAATTTTTTCAAATCATACACTTTATTTATATATTATTATAGATATTAATGTGCAAGTATAATTCCAAGCTAATAAACAATGCAATAATACAGCAATAAGCATTTATCTACTGAAGTTATAGTCCAATGAAAATAAATATTGATTACAAGCTATAAATTAAATTAATAGTAGTCAGCTGCAATTGATAATATCAGAGTCTCTATAAAGATTTCAAATTTTTTGAAGGAAATCTATTCATTTTTTTTTTAATATTATTAGAGAAGAGAGATCATCATATTAATTATAACACATTTTATATATACATAGAATCAAAACACATATATTATGAATTAATATTCATAAGTCAGATCAGAAATCCAGATAAAATATAATTCAAAAACAAAAAATAATTCAATCTCATTTTAAATCATTCAAACTCAACACAAAAGTATTATAATCTAATAAAATTTTCCCTCAATATTACTTTTTTTTGCATACATTCGTTGCTATAATTAAATATATGTAAATAAATATATGTACATTTCTTTATCTTTTTTTGTACATATTTTCAAAATATAAAATTGATATAGAGATATTTGCAAAATATATACATAATAATATTTTATGTAAAATATAGCGTCAAATATTCGAATAAATAGCAACATCAATTTTCTAGTTGATGCTCTCATTCAACATTTGTTATTTTAAAAAATTTTTTAAATTTTACATTTTGTATTAAGATAAGAAGATACGAACATAAGCGCGAATTTTTAATCTACACAATGGACAAGTTGTTAAAGTCGGTATACAATTATCGCATGTCGCTAAATGGCCACAGGGTAAAAATACTATAGCTAGTTCATTATCCATACAAATCTTGCATAGACGAGCCTCTTTCAATTTTCTATTCTCCTCTCGCAAAGACACTGAAAGAAAATGATGTGAATTATTTAATGTGAGATATGTGGGTCTCTATATTTCTTCTGGGAAATTAGATTCTAGATTATAGATCCGATATATGTATAGAATAATATTTAAGAGCTATATCTCTTAAACAAAAGGAAGTTGCGATAAGAAGCTATCATCAGTAAATTTGCATTGATAATATTGAGAGATACAGTTGCAATATACAATATATGATAAGGATAAAAATAATTCAAAGAAAAATGACATATAATCTCGATTTTAAAAAACTTGTTCAATGTTAAAGCAATCACTTGACAATTCGTTTCATAGCTTTATTGCAGAGTAAAGTTGAGATTTATTTAAACTAAAAACCCACTTTTATTCGATTGTTATAGAATAATAAAAAAATGCTGAATGAAAACACGTAGAAGATGTAACATTGTGTCAGTAGAGACAAAAATCGACAAACTTTAATTTCATAATATTAAATAATGAAATATATATATATATATATATATATATATATATATATATATATGTATTACTTACTAATATCATCTGATTCATTATCAGTTTCCTTTTTATTATATTTGTTTTCAACTGTGTCAGATTCTTGCATGGTTTTTTTGCTTGTAGAATTGTTAGCTGATTGTATAACTTGATTAAATAAAGTTTTCAATTCTAAAGGTGACAAGGTAGAAGTACTATTATCAAATCTGAAAAGGGAGATACATTTCTCAATGATGATTCAATGACACGAGTATTTATCGCGTAATATATACTATATGTTATGTATGTTTCACATACCTTGTATGATCTTCCATAAGTTGATTGTGTAAAACAGCTTCTACAAGCTGTGTAACATTTACATAGGGTTTGCCAACTTCTTCCATTCTTCTTTTCAGAGCTTTCGTTACTCTATCCACATGTAGTCCCATTTCAAGAGCAGCCTATACATAATGTTGTACATCCATTAATTATATTTATACATTACAAATTGATATAATAATAACAGTTTAATTTTAATAAATCATTTAATACTAATTAGATCATTCCATGTACCTTAGCCGGAGCAGTATCTAATAGCCTCTTGACTGTTACATCTGTTATTGACTTATTAGATTGTAAAATTGTGGGAACGGAAGTAACTGTAGTATCTGTGACACCTGCCATAGGTATTACTACATCTGTTATTAACTCGCTAGATTGTAAAACTGAGGGACTGGAAGTAACTGTAGTATCTATGACACCTGATGCCACGGTATCTGTTATTGGTTCGTAAGATTCGTTAGGTTGTGAAATCGAGGGACTGGAAACTAAAGTCTCTTCAGTGACATCTGCTAAAGATATTGCTGTATTTGTTATTGCTTCCCTAAATTGTATCATGGAAGGAGATGCAACAGAAGTTTCAATGGTATTACTGTTTTCTCCTGGTACATCAGCAAAAATCTATATAAACAAAATTAAAAATATATACATTACACTATCACAAAATTAATTGATAAAATTGTAGGAGAAGATAAAAATAATACGATGATTACCGAAAGATTTAAAGATCCTCTTATATCTATGCTATGCTTGACAAATTTATGACCACGCATAAGAAGTACAAAGCCACATTTTGGAAACCAATATGCATGCTCAATCCATACATCATCCATTGGTTGCCAACCATGTAATCCTCCATCACAATGGAAGCATCTGACTTGGTCATCATATCCTATATATTAAATGCATCATAAGATTAGCAAATATTTTATCATGTTGTGATATGTATGTAAAGAAAACAAATAATCTTTTCTCTGACCTTGATAATAGAATCCAGCAGTAGCTAACATCTCTGGAGTTTGCTTAAGATTTTTTGGCCAATTATGAAAAGTTTGCAGTCTTTTTTCATATGTTGTATATTGTGATTTAGACACTGTGTGCATTTGTATTCCTAATTCTGTTAAATCTGCACTAGTACCAGATAAGACTCTGACCAATCCAAATGTATCTATTAAAATAAAATCATATAATCAATAATTGTAAAGATGTACAAGTATAATATTACACATTTAATTTACAAAGTAAAACTGAATATTTATAATTCTTATAAGCGTTATTATGAAATAATAATGTACCATCTTTTGTTTCTCTCATATAGAAATCACAATTTGGAAAATTTAATTTATGGGCATGCTCTGGATCGTCGCCAACTTTCCAATTCATTAGAATACCTTTGCAAAATGCGCATTCCACCTGTTATTGTACAAAATGTTAAGCGAAAATAGAGATATATATACTACTAGAAGACGTGTAAAGTCCTATTCTTTTATTACTACTTTAGGATTACTCAACATCGCGCAATATTATTATAACAATATTATATATTAGAATAACGCATGTCAAAGATCCTTTACCAAATCTTTATACTGAAGATAGTAAAATCCCGCTAAAGCCAGCTGTTCCGGACGGATGATAGAAGTTAATGGCCAACTGTCAAACGTCTGCAGCCTCTGTGAAACAGTTTCGTATTTTCCTACAACATTGGACGACCTCTGCTGCAGCTGTTCCGGGTCCTCGATGCTGTCCTCGGATCGTCGCGTGTTCGACGATGATGTAGTCGATTCCGAAGTGATGCCAGCTGTCGTCGGGATCATCGGGACATTGCAAGTCCCGGCTGGATCGACGACGAAGGGACAATTGGGCGCTTTTCGCCGATGACGAGCCATCGCTTGATCACCATAATTCCAGTCCGATATCATCGTGCCGCACAAGAAACACTGTACCTCTAGGTAGTTTCCGGTATAATAAAATCCCGCCTTCGCGAGACAGGACGCGCCGATCGCGGCGTTCGATGGCCATTCGCGAAAAGTCGCGAGTCTCTTCTCCTCGACGTTCATCTTGAAGCAGACGCGTAGGGAATTTTCCTGTTTATTATTTCTCTTTTTCCTACGATCTGGAATTCAATTGTCGATTTCCTCGGTAGATTGTCGTTGATTAAACAAGGAAGCGAAGATCATCTTCTCGGTTAATGATAGTTGTTAGTTTTAGATTCAGCTCGCTTCATTGAATTTCTTTCTTATCTTCTACAGATGCAGCATTACATTTTCCTATTTACAGATATTATTCTTCACTCTCGCGGGATTTTGCGTTCTTATTACACTGGAATATATAGATATTTTCGCGAATTATAACCTCAATCTACGCGAGATGACAGATGACATGAGTCAGATCGAATCCGGACTCGAACCCGGATTTGTCTTCTATCCGGGGGTCTTCCGATTATCTTACTTGGATCGTTGTATCATCTCTTTTACACCTTTTACACCCTACGCGACTGATTACCGATTGTCAGTGTAGATGTATGTGTGTATATCATCATAAAACTTTTGCGCATGCGCTACTGTTATTTTGACACCGCGTGACCGCGTGATTATCACTTTTCCACACACACATATATAATAGCTGCGTTCCAAAATTCACTGCCAATACTGAAAATCTTTAGTTTACGTGACGTACACTATAGATTTTCAGTACTGGCAGTGAATTTTGGAACGCAGCCAATATGTATATAAATATTTATTTTATTTCTATACACATATATATATATATATATATATATATATATATATTTCTATAAATATGTATTTTATTTCTATATATACAATGTTATTTAATTAATTATTACTTAATTATTTTATTATAAAATAATAATAATAAAAGTAATAATTAAGTAATAATTATAATATAAAATAGATGTCAAAAATAATTCTGAAAAAATATTCCAATCTTTTTTTATAATTAATACTGTAAATGTGTATGTTTTCATAACGTAAAAATAAATAAATATAATGATTGTGTTTAAGAAACGCTAAAAAGAAATGTTGAAACTTTTAATGAAAAATGTATAGAAAATATGAAAAGCTCAAAATATGATAATATGACGATAATGATGTGATAAATATGATAATAATGATGATATGACGATAATGATATGATAAATATGATAAATATGATAATATGACTATAATGATGTAAATGTTTACATTTGCATGGAATAAAGATACGTCATTGACGTCGAACACACCATCTTGCTGCCGGTTGATTTGTACACAGTGATTCGCACAGTGCATTTTTCTTTTTCTGTAAAATATTGTTTAAAATGGCGGTAATAACGAGATTGGCTAAAGTAAGTTATTTTTTATTAATTGTCACAATTTTATATTTGATATAATTAATCTTTCTAAAACATATTGCCGTATTTATACATATAACCTCCTTAAGTATTTTATAACAATAAGATTTATTATATTTATTATATTTTAAAAATATATGCTTATTTCATTTGCTGTACATTTATTATTAAGTTTAATTTTTACATTATATTACCAAAAGAGACGTACCTTAAGAATAGTTTTTTCAGGTAAATTTTATAAGTAGGCGTTTGTACAGTTCCAAAGTCAACTTAAATGATGTTGTAATAATCAGTGCTGTGCGTACTCCAATGGGTTCATTTCTTGGATCCTTATCAAGTGTGTCGGCCACTAAACTTGGTGCAGTAGCTGTACAAGTAAGGATTTTGATATTAAATATTTCAAAAAAATTTGGAAATTCTATTAGTTACAAATATTATAAATTATAATTAATATATATACATCTTTTATTGTTTTAGGCAGCTGTTGAAAGAGCTGGTATTGCCAAGGAACAAGTCAAAGAAATATATATGGGCAATGTCTGCCAAGGTTTTTTGGGTCAAGCACCAGCGAGACAAGCTGCATTATTTGCAGGTCTTGAAAATGTATTTCTTTTTCTTTTACAATGAATGTTTTGCATTTAACAAATTTTTAAAATCATAAGGAGATATCTCTTTAGTAGAATAAATCTCTATATTGACACAAAAATGTATAATTTAATTTAGTATATAGTGTATGTAAAGAGATTATAATATATCTATTATTAGGTCTTCCAAAATCAACGATATGTACTACAGTGAACAAAGTCTGCGCAAGTGGTATGAAAAGTATCATGCTGGCCTCTCAATCTCTACAGTGTGGTCACCAAGAGATTATTCTGGCTGGTGGTATGGAATCGATGTCTAATGTACCATATTACTTGGCACGTGGTGAAACGCCATATGGTGGAGTAAAACTCCAGGTTGAATTATATTTTTTTTGTTTATTTCTTATTACTTCATTCTTGTTGTCCATATTATATAATATATGGAAAAATGTCTACACATTTACATTAGTAAATAATTAATATTGCACAATTTTTTTAATAGGATGGTATTGTATTTGATGGCTTGACTGATGTATATAATAAGTGTCATATGGGTAACTGTGCTGAAAACACGGCTAAGAAATTGAACATTACTCGCGAACAACAAGACGAATATGCTATCAGCAGTTACAAACGTAGTGCCGCAGCTTACAAAAATAATATATTTAAAGATGAACTTGTACCTGTCAGTGTGCCACAAAAGAAGGGCAAGCCAGATATAGTTTTCACCGAGGATGAGGAGTATAAAAGAGTCAACTTTGAGAAGTTTGGCAACTTGAGCACAGTTTTCCAGGTAACATTTAGATTAGCAAAGCATAAATAGATATTCATATTCATAAGTATGAAAATTTTGCTTTTTCTATTGTCTCATTTTCTTTATGCTTATATATAGAAAGAAAATGGTACAGTGACAGCTGGAAATGCATCCACTTTAAATGATGGTGCTGCTGCTTTGATTTTAACAACCAGCAAGGTTGCTGAAAGACTGAATCTTAAGCCTTTGGCTAAAGTTGTTGCTTTTCAAGATGCAGCAACGGATCCTATAGACTTTCCAATCGCCCCAGCATTTGCTGTGCCATCGGTAAGTCGTCTACCAGTAAAAGATTTATTTATTTTTAGAATTGCAATAATATTAAGTTTTTGCATAATATTTTAGCTGCTTCAAAATGCTGGAGTTAATAAAAACGACATAGCTCTTTGGGAAATTAATGAAGCATTCAGTGTAGTAGTTGTAGCAAATCAAAAATTACTCGATATTGACCCCTCTAAGGTAAACGTTCATGGCGGTGCTGTTTCACTTGGACACCCTATAGGGTGAGTTATTTAGATAGTTTTTAGGATTATTTCATTCAGAACGTCACATTGTGTATTATGAAATTAATATATTAATTATTGATAATTGATAACGAATCTTTTAGTATGTCAGGAGCACGTATCGTAGTTCACTTGGTGCATGCTCTTAAAGCCGGAGAAAAAGGTGTTGCGTCAATTTGCAATGGAGGTGGTGGTGCATCATCGATTTTGATCGAGAAATTGTAAGTTTGCAAATTGCAATTGCTGCTTCAATTTATATGAACTATGAGATCTACATAATCTATCGGTTATCTCAATAATATAAGTTAAATTGTATATAAAAAATATTATTTTTATATTACAAAACGTATAGTGTTAAAACTATATCGTGATAATTGTTAAATCAAAAGTGTTTTTTTATAACTTTTTATGTTTATATAAATGTGATAAAGTAACAGTTTACGATTTTTCTACTGAAATATATGTATATCTGTAAGTATGTAAAATATATAACTTTTAAACAGAAAAAGCAATTTATGAAAACATAAAAAATATATTTTCTTACTCTGTAAATCTTTTTTATATTGCTGCTTACCTCTTTATATCTCTTATATATTTTATATAGAAATAAATTTTTTTATATATTAGCAATACGATATAGATTTTATTGAAATTTAAATTAAGCGTCATATATATTAAAAATATTTCTCAAAGAAAAAAAGGAGAATGTATGATTTTTAGGTGTCATCCGGTATCTTCCCCGCCAAAATTAATATTATATACGAAAAGTCCGTGTCCACTTTGCGACATAGTAAAGAACGAGCTGCGTTTGCGTTTCGCCGGTCGTTATCAATTAGAAGAAGTCGACATCACTGCGAAAAATAACGAGCGATATTTTGAATTGTATCAGTATGATATACCAGTTCTCTTTTTAGAAGGTCAATACCTCTGCAAGCATCGATTAGATACTGATTTGTTAACAAAGAGACTCGATGAATTAACATTGAGGACAAATACATAAACACGTTAGTATAAAAGATTAAATTTCTCGCATCATTATCGACTTTATTAATTTTTTTATAAGTATCGTATTTGTAAGTATAATTACATACAAATTTATTTTTCAATTAACGTTTTAGCTCATAAAATAAAAATTCCAAGTTTAAAAAATTGATCATCTATAAACAGTTGCATCTAAGACCCAGAAATAAGATTGATCGGAAAAGTCCAGATGATTGATAGAAAAAATCAGTGATAAATTCCGGTCTTTATTTAATAAAAATATTTGATTTAGATTTTATCCAATGGAATAAACTGCCAAGAACTATAAAAGTGACTTATGTATATATAATATTAAGATATATATGAATTCATACAAAATTTTTATAAAAATATATATTTTTGCTTTAATTAATAAATCATATTAATTTATAATTTAAAAAAAAGAAATCAATGTAATAATAAAATCTTTTTTAATTTAAATTAATATGTGAAACACATTTTCAAAGCAAAAACTTTAGAAATATAAACGTTACTAAATTTTATATTAATTTTTAATAGAAGAGGAGAAAAATATAATAGAATTAATAGAAACAGAATTAAACATCTCATCAATATAAATTGTTTAATATCTTGCAACAAAAGATTATTTTCTGCGTTTCTTAATTTATTGAAGCTTTATCTTGGATGGAGTTCAGATTAGAAATATTTTCTCAAGTGACAAATATCAATGAAAATATTTTCTATTTATTTTAATATTTTTAATGGAAAAAACAAATCAGTCTTGGTCAATTTTTCCCGGATTTTTACCGGTTTTTACCACTGATGGATTTTAGCAAAAAAATGTGAAATTTTGTCCTATTCAGAAACATTTGAAACGATCCACAAAGTAAATCAGTTATCAGTTCGACCGATCTTAATGCTTCCATATTCATTTTTGCGTTCGTTCCGCCACATCTTCTGTTACTCCCCTTTTTTCTTTCTCCTACAATAAGGAGGTCAGAAAATGAAGCGAATATAGATAGACGTATGCCTTAATCTGATTATCATCCAAGCGATTTCCATTGTATCATAAACAATCGCGGTTGCGAGGGATTATACATAATTTTCATTAATCTTTCAATTCTTCCTCTCTTTCTTCTTTCTCTCTCGCGCGTCTTATATACCTCATTTTCTTCGTTTCTTCTCCCTGTCCTTCCTCTCGTTCGTCGCGTCTCTCTCTCGCCCTTGACGATCTCCCTTTCTCTACAATAGACCGGACTCGTTCCTTCCACCCTCTCCCCCTCCCTCTCCGCGCGTGCGTGCGTGTGGGTGCGTGAATGGGTGAATGTACAGACTCGCAACCGTTCGTCGACGGCCCGTTCTTCCTCAGTGCGTGCCTTACGCGGACACCGTGAAGTACTAGTCTCGTACTCGTGCGGCGGTTACGTGGCACGCGCGCTTTTCGCGGAAGGACGGGAAGAGAGGAGAAAAAAGCATCCGTAGAAAAGAAGGAAAAGCCAGGAGGTGCGAGACACGGGGGAGGACGTGGGAAGGAGCGAAGAAAACTCGGCGGACAAGGAGTGAGGGAGCCAGAAAGAAGCGCAAGATAGAAGGAAGAAACATACAAGAGAGAGAGGCAGGAAAGGAGGACGAAGAGGGAGGGAGAAAGGGGGCGCCAGAGCGAACCGCCGAGCGAAGGGGGCGAGTATCTCTCGCGAGCGCGTCGTCTTCGTAGTCTTGCCTCTCGTTTACCGATAGATCATCGATAAAAGAGAGAACGGAAAAATTAGGGAAGGGATATTTCTCTCTCTCTTTTCAAACCTTCCAAACGTACCTTCCAAAAATTCAAACGTCATCGTGGATCCAGGACAGTGGCCCTTCATCATCGATCCGCATCTCGGGATCTTCGGACGCATCTCGGGATCTTGGACGGCGAGAAATCCGTCTAGAAATCATCGACAGCATCGTCGAGAGTTAGTGGTGAGTCGCGTTTATTCGACCTAGTTCTGTGATCAAGACGATCGAAGAGAAAAAAAAGTACAATTGACAACTGACAGTATTGACAGAAGCGAGATCGTTGATCCCGTAACGAGTTGATATCGGCGCTGACAGTTGATGACGCGAAGTTGGCTGCGAAAACGTCACACCCGGTAACTCGACAAGTGTCCGGGACCTGAAGTTGTCGCTTTCACAAAAATTTAACGCGATGTGACGCGAAGAGAAGCTTCTGTATCGACGTCCTCATCCTCAGGATTTTTCATCGAGGAAAGGAGAAGAACGCAAAGAAAGAATATTCCTGAGGCACTCGACGGATCTCGAGAACGAGATCTTGAGGGGGAGAAGACGTCGCCCTAGGTTTGAAATCGAGGAACAAAGCGGCGAAGAGAGACAGAAGAGGCGTAAAAGTGATATGGATGCTGGAGGCGGGAATCGCACACGCGTTGCGCCGCTGCTGCGTTTTTTTTACACGCAACGCTCGAACAAGGTCGTGCGCGAGTGGAATGACCGTGATTTGAACGAATTATTGTGCGCGCGCGCGCGGGCGCGTGCCCGCTTCGACGAGGGAGACGGACGATGACATTGTCGCTCCTCACCGATATACGTGCACGGATACACGCGGCTGCTGCCGCCCCCCTTCTCCCTTCTCCCGTTCCTGGTCCGCTTCCTTCGGTCCGACTGGTTGCCACGAGGATTTCTTCTTGCTCTCCAAGCTTGAATCGCTCCTCTGGCTCCGCTTCGAAGTGAAAAAGGTACGTGTATATGTATATATATATATATACAGGGTGTCAGGGCAATCTCTTCCCTAAAAAAAGCTCTTGTAGCTTACCTCAAGAGCTTTTCAAAACACTATACTAAAGTATTTTTTTATTGAGTATTTTTCGAATTATGAGGCTTGAAATAATTTCTTAATTATTACATAAATCATAAAATATCTAGTAAAATATTCATTTTTTGATTATCTTACCTTAATATTTTTATGTGCAAAATGAGAGGAATCAATTACATAATTGTTTACATAATTGTACACATAATTGTTTCGAAGAAAACATATGTAATTTGCAATTAACAATTACATATTTTTTTTCGAAACAATTATGTGTTTTCTTTACACCAATTCCTCTCATTATTTTGTACATAAAAGTATTAAGGTAAGTAATCGAAAAATGAATATTTTACTAGATATACATTATGGATATACTTTATGTAAAAATTAAGAAATTATTTCAAGGCTCATAACTTGAAAGGTATTCGATGAAAAATACTTTATAGTGTTTTGGAAAACTTTCGAGGTAAGCTACAAGAGCTTTTTTGGGAAGAGATTGCCCTGACATCCTATATACGTAAAATGTAAATAAGCAGTATATATAATGTGAGAGAACGGATGGAGGCTAACTTGCAGTTGCAATCGGATCACGGTCACCGTGGAAATAAATTGCAGAAGATGACGAGCGAGAGAAAGAGAGATGAAAAAATTCCTTTTTTTCTGAAAAATATTGAAAAATTATGTCGGAGCTGAAAATATCCGGAGTATTTCATCCTGTGCTATTCATCGTGAGATGAATTCATACAGCACAGAATATTGGAGCAATATTATTAATATTGTAAATTGCAGCAACATAGCAATATTGCTGCAATGTTCTGTATTGTAATGTCTGGAAAGCAGTTGAATGATTAAAAATAAATTTAAATGGAACTTAAGGCGCAATTAATATTAAATCAAGCAATATATAAAATGATAGAAAATTACAAATATTTTGTTTATCGCCAGCGTAAAATCGTTTAAAAATTATTAATAATAATGATTGAAAGAACTTTTTTATTCTTTAGACATTTTCGCTTATTTTCTCTTACGTATAAATGTAACGTATAAATGTTCGATTAAATTCAACCGACGAATCGAGATTTTAATTTTAAAATAACTTAGAGAGAGTTCTTATGCAATTGTTTGCAGTAGAAATGTCACATTAAGCGACCTTTATGAGTCATAAAAGCTGTTGATTCTTTGGACGCACACTTTTTTGGAGGGAAAAAAGGGAAGAAAAATAGTAAATTATTTACGCGCGCGAAGAGGAGACTAAATTTCCTTTTATAGACTTCGCGTTTGACTGCAATTTTAACAACTAGTTGCGCCAGCAAAGACGTGAAGTGGTTGGCCTTCGAGCCTGCATCGATCTCCGAGCTCCGACAATCGAACGCCAAACGACATCTTTAAGGTTCTTTAGTCGATCGCGCCGATATTTTATTTACCTTTATTTAGATAGATTACCTTTATATTTTATTTACCTTTATCTAGATAACTATATATTTTGTCTTTTAAGTATTAATTCGCTTAAATATTAATTACGTACACTCCTAAACGAATTCTATAGCAGCAATATTTTATTTAAATACAATATATTATATAATTAAATGTTTTATTCTTATTTTATTCTTATTTTAGTTCTTAAAGAAAAATAATTTTCCTTGCCAAATATTAAGCTAATTATTTATTATATGAAAATTATACATTTACTCTTATTAATTAGCTTTTTAATCAATTTAATTCCACTTATCGAATAAAAAATACACTGGTCTATTTATTATTTCTTAGATTATATTCAAGTAGATTAGATCTTTGGAGAAAAAATAAATAGAAAATTGATTAATATTTTTTTCTTGCATCATATTACTTTGCAGATTTTACTTCGTGTATTTTTATGGTGCTTCTAATTACGCATTTCTTTTACAGCAACAAATTATCTATTATAATTATTCGTGAAAAAAAAATAATGTAAATGTAATGTAAATAATGTAAATGAGGTTTAGCAGGTGATATGTACGCTTTGTTTATTACTTATTAGCTGCTGCACATGTTTCGCGTTTACGACCATGATCCAGCTGCGTATGAGCTATTTGCTCAATGTACCGAGACAAAATATTTGCTCCGCGAACGGAGGTGGCAGTAGACAAAAGGTTCCGCAGTCATTACTGGAACTGCTCTTTCGTGTTTCGTGGTTTCGTTTCAAAGCAGCCACGCCTCTTTTTACACGTTTTCGTCGGGACTCATCGCGATGGGATCCGTCGAGAATCGAGCGATGGAACACAACGTAAATACCTTGACGAAAAATACCTTGACGACCATTCGACATTTTAAAGCGGATATATTATTGCGAATGCACTATATTCTGGATATTTTTCACGTGTATCTTACAATAATTGGGTCTAAAAATTAATTATAAACTTGGGATGTAATTAAATTTCTTATTAAAAAATTATTAAATTATTCAAATAAATTATTAAATTATTATGTAATTAAATTTCTTATTAAAAAATTATTAAATTATATTTAAAAATGACTATTTTAATCAATAATAAGATTGTATGAAGAAGACAAAGATAAGCGAGAAAGAATGAAAATAAAAATATTATTCATTAAATTTCAGAGACTTTTTTCTCTCTCTCTCTCTCTTTCCCCTTAATTCAATACTTCAAAAAAATGGTAGCAATTTAACTTTTTGATAAAGAACTTTATTATGAGAATTTTTAATAGAAGCGGGGTAAAACATTACAGTATACTTTATACATTTTAGTTATGGAAAGATGCACCTCACGTTGCGTCTTTACAATTTGCATCGCATTGCTTCTATAGTTTTCATATTTTTGCGTCAAGAGGGTCTACGTGAATTCATTGTGACACGTTTCTCAATAGAAGAGATAGAAAAAGACTATCTGAAAATAGCCAACGCACTATTTAACTCTTAAACGGTCATCGTCGTCGCAGTCAATTAAAAATTACCACAATTCAATGCGTCGTTCGTCATGCTAATCAATTACAATAGTGTATTTATGGACGCATCGATGTATGTTTTCGAACAAAGACACACTCTAAGGTTTTGTGCTGGCATCGCCAACGGCGCGTATTTATCTTTGGACTCTCTTGCTTTCCGTTCGTGTTATCGCGAATTGCACGAGTCTGTTGACACGATATTTTCACGTTCATAAAACGTAGAGTCGAATAAGTCGAATCAAGATCGTATCGAATAATTTTCGGACGACAAAATAAGCAATCGTTGGACTTTGACAATTTCCAAGTTGCATCACGTGCGTATGTGTGTGTTTGTGCCATGTAAATTATATTGGAACTCGACGCATGTAATGAGAGATCCAATGGGCGCGAAAATGCGGAAAAATGCGGAAAGAGCGCACTAGGAAGCGACATACATAAGTGCATTCTTGAGACGTGGGAGCGACTCTCAGCGCGCAATAAAGCGATATACAGGGTGGTCCCGCGGTACTGCGTCTACTTTCTCTAAACCGTAGGTACTAGAAGCGACGAGAAACGCTATAATAATTCCTCGATCAATGAATACACAGAAGGAAAATCGTGTCGATGTCTTTGAGAAACTTGAGAATCCAGCACAGAACATTGCTAATATTACAGCAATATTGCAGCAACATTGTAATATTGCTGCAATGTTACAACAATGTTTTGTGTTGTATGGGAAGTGTTGGTTGTACATAAATTTCAATATATATCGCACAAATATAAAGTACGTAACAATTTTTTCGCGTTTTATTTCAATTTTTTTCTCTATCTCGTCAATGAACTTATGACCGACGATATTCCCTCAAATCGGGAGGAAGTGCGCTCGTGATCCCCGACACACCCTGTACAAACCGTTGTGAACGAACGTGTCGGGCGTGTATGACCTGTCTTGCTCTCCCGCGTGGCTCGATTAAAAGTTCAATGAACGCGTGCAGCGCGTGATGAGCGCGGTACGATTGTCTCCCTTCATTGATCACCGAGGCGATGATGAATCAGAGGAGTCGCGTAGAAAGGAAGGATGGAAAAGGAACGTTCTTAGTTGCTGAAAATTCGGAAAGATTCGATTGTCGTTGTAATAATTGGTATCGTTGAACAAACATAATATAACGTGTGTGAAAAGTGTCAAATTTATATACAGATTTTTTTCTCAATCAATCTTGAATCAGAAATATTCAAAATATCCATCGTTTTTTATTAAATATTAGATACTTTTTTATTCGCGTATATTCGTAAATAGATATAAAAGATTTCTAATTCGAAAAATGACTATACTCTTAATTTTATAGAAAGAAGCCTCAAATTTAAATAAGTCTTTAAATTTAAGTTTTCTCTTGAAAAATATTATATATTATTGTTTATTTACATTTTTTTTTAAATTTAGTTTTGTAAAAAATTGTTTATTGTCCATAACTTGCGTAATTTGAACAGTATTATTCTTTTTCTCTTCCTGTCAAAAAAATTTTAATTTATAAAAAAATACACAAAACGAAGCATTCATTTACATCCAAAATATAAAAAGTGGTACAAAAAAATTGTATTTGTATTATAATTGTAATTGTAATAATTGAAATATTGTAATATAATTTAATAAATATTAAATTACTCTTTCCTCGATTTATTTTTATTCTTTACAAGTTTATTGAGCGAATACAAAAATATATCTTTTCATATATTTAAAACTGAGGATGCCGGGACTCTTCGGAATTCGTCATCACACACTCGAGAATCAATATCAACATGACATTCAAAATATTGTTATTTCGAAGGATCTCGGCGAGAACGTGTCCAAGCGGCGGCAACATTGTCAATTTGGTTTAACGTGACCGGAATGACAGAGGGAACGCCGCCGGCCGAGTAATTGTATACAATTACATCATTTGTTTGCTTTCTGGCGGGATCGTGAGAACCGAGTCTAACCGAGCATTTAAACGCGTCCGTTAAATTCGTGCTCGCAAGCGAACTCTCATATCGTACGCATATTATTGCGCGTCAGCGGTAATTAATCAGCGAGTCGACCAAGCTAAATGGAGCCGGCCATGGATTCATCATAGCTCCGTGAATTCCGAGTTCTGGCGTGTCGGATTATTTATAGAATTTACGCTCCCATTTGTCCACTTTCAAGCCCCGAACAATTAGTTACGCTAATTAATTTCGCTCTATCGGGATCTCTAATGAACGGCGTGTGGGTAATAATTAGAGGGGAAGGGGACATATTTTTTATCCAGAAAATGTTTCCCGTGTCGAACTAACGGTATCGGTAACAATCAAAAAACACTTTGTCCAAAATTGCCAGAGGTTCATTTGACGTTACTATGCTAATGTGTGGATTATCGCGAATAGCGATCTAGCACGAAACAGTCGAAGCGTCGAAAATTGACGTAAATGCGCTGGGTCACATTAAGGGAAGAATATCTAACTCGAAATTATTTACCTAGGAGCAGCGAATTTTTGTCATAAATTTATGGAAAAAAATTTTGACACTACAACCCTCCCACAATGTTTGAAAAATCATGAAATGATTCCCAAAGGAGGTCGAATGGCAGAGGTCGCGAGGGTATAATCGACAATAAACATTTATCACCGTCATCGCATAATTATTCGCCCTAAACGCCTCGATGCAAACCACTCACTTAGTGTTTCGTCGTTAATTGTCCCTGACAATTACGAATGCATCGACGACGAAGCGTTGCGTCGTCCCCTTTCTCGGATTGCGTTTCAGTCGCGATACGGATTGGATTTATAAACGATACACGTGCATATCAGCGACATGGCGAGTTTGTTTTTGCGTGATTTTCTCCGATATATTCGAAACGGTGAGTTATGGGTGGAGGAAAAAAGTGAGAATCACGTGATTAAGATTCGAGCGAAACCTTTCCACGATGGTGAGAAACATTCTCTGATTAGAGATTTCTTGCACGGGTCAGATGAATCGAGGACATAAGGTTACAATGAAAAACTGCCGACACACTTTGCCCGGCTAATCTAATCATTTCAGATACCTCTCGAAGTGTAATCACTGGTTTAAATTACTACGGTAGTCAACAAATATCATATGACGACACGTGTATATTCTCTTCTCAAGTATTAAATTTATATCGCAAATATTTTCATATAAAAGTAATATCTGCATCTGATATATATATATATATATATATATATATATTTATTTATTTATTTATTTATTTTCATTTATTTATCTTAAATATACAGGGAAGAGAAAGCAAGAAAAATGTGAGTTTTAATAGATATGTATAAAATATGCGAGAGAGAATAATGAGACATTTAAATCAATATTTTTTCATCTAAAACTGTCACAATAAATTCATATTGTTTTTAGATTATTTTTATTTTATATCATGTGTTTGTACTATTATATTCAGCCTTTTTAAATGTCAGAAAGATTTTTATCTTTTTGTGAACGCTCGTTTTTATAACTCGTATAATATTACAATCAATATAAGCGCTTTTATTGTTGTGCAGGCGTAAATCGTCGCAAGATGGCGTCTAACGAGGATGGCGATTTGATCGACCTCGGAAACGACGCGTGTGTTCCACGTGTCGCAGTGGATGATGCGACAGCCGAGGAACAAGAGCACCTGCTCGACGTGTGTCCTCCGAAACTGGAGCAGAAGCTCTTCCTCACCAGGCAGCAGGAGCAAGTGCTGGATAGCACCGATAAGGGTGATATTCTGGTGACCTTGGGTCACGATCAGGTGGTACCGATTCGCAAGAGGATCGATGTAGTGTCATCGGACACAATTAAGCGGATTCGCGATATCACCAAGAATCTCGAACCGGTGATACGTAGGACTTGCATCAACGAGGAGATCCAACAGGACACGGTGGACCACGCGACCTTGGACGAAAGGACGAAGCGCTCGACGGCGAAGCATGAAGACGAGACGTATGAAGCGCGGGAGATAAATAACGCCTTCGATTTTCTCTCCGAGCACGACGACAATGAGGACCGAGCGGAAACAAGCTCGGGCCGCCCGAAGAACGAGAACGTCAACGTGAATCGCTCGCTATCCTCCATGCGTCTCTTGACCGAGAAGGAGGAAACGGTCAATTACCCTTTCGAGTCATCGTCCAGGACCTCGAGCGAGGAAACGACCGGGGGAAGTGACACGGAGGAGAGGATAGATGTCGTCATGGCGAACGAGTACGATGTCCAGCTGGACAATCCGGCCTTCGAGTCCTCGCCGGACTCGAAAAAGTGTCGCGAGAAGGATGCGGTCGAAGACAAATCCTTCTTCGTCGATCTGGAGCCACACACGAGAGTCGTCCTTAAGAGACGCGGTCAGGAGGACGTCGCGTTCGAGCGCGGAAGCAAAAAACGCTTCTTCCGAGAGCAACATCGTAAATCGTGGACGGAAGGGACGAGGCTGAATGCAGCTTTTACCGATGAGCTTCCCGGTATCGATAGATCCATCAGTCTTGAAGAGTATCACTGTGTCCCGTCGACCTCCGACGTCGATCGTGGATTGTCCAGCTTTCTGACGAGGTAAAGGATTTTGTCATATTTCTATATTTTTCATACAGAAAATTCTTCTGGTCATATTTTTGGATTTTATTTTGGTAAACAAGAAAGAAATTGTATTACAATTTTTTATGAAAATTATATAACGTTGTTTTAAAAATTTTTTTGTAATTTAATAGCAAAAATAATTCATAAGACTTGCAATATTATAATATAACATAAAATCTGCTGATAAAAAAATGAAGAATTTATTTTTCGCTAAGTAACTTTAGAAATTCAACGATTTATTTAATGTTTCAAGTAAAAAATAACGAATTGTCGAGTTTCTCGACTTTGTAGAGACTGCAATATTTCTGCAAGAGTTTCTGTCTCTTTTTTATTTATATAAAATCTCACTTGGCTTTGCCTGGCAGTTTCCCACGTCGAACACAAGCTCGATTCGCTAGTGCGACTCGGATGTAAGAATTCGCAGAAGCATAGACTGGAATGCGTCGGCAGGAAAGCGGCTTTCGTGCCGGAAGTATTTACATAAATCCGACTTAACGAACGTACCCACTATTTCAGTTCAGACTTGTTCTTTCGATGAATGTAATATCTTAACGATGACGACCTGTGATACAAAATTTCCGTGTCGATCGAAGCGCATAACGAGCTGATAATGGAAATGCGCATCCTCTTTGACGATGCTTTACATTCGCCCTACCTTTCAAGTTATCAGCACAAGTGCAAGCTCGAGTGTTTTAGAGAATGGATCGAGTGTCCATTTGCAGCTCTAAAGTGAACTCTAAACAGAATTTTAAAAGGAGCATTTATCTATTTTATTGAATGTGCTTTCTCTCTGTCTATACGTAAAAATTTTCGATTAAAGGCCAAAAATCGTTGTCTCGTGATAATTAATTATTTTTACATTTTTATTTTTATCAAAAAATAAAAAAGATCAAATATATATTAAAAAGTCGGATTTCAACAATAACATAAATCGTTCTTGACGTTCTTAGAATATCAAGTTTGCAATCGTAATATTTTCTTTAATTAAGAAGATTGAAAGTTAATATATTGAAGAAATTTACTCTCTCTAGAGATAGCGAGACTTTCTCGAGCAGCGACAGCGCGAACATTCGGTAAAGATAAAAGCATCGATCGATGCCTTGAAAAAAATTAACAGTCAAATCGTAAAAAGTATAAAACGACATCGCACAGAACAAACGGATTTTCACAATGATGATGATTCGTGCAACGGTATCGCGAAACATTCACGTAAGACACGCGATGAATTAAGCCTCGCGTCGAATCGGAAGAATGAAACGTTACGTGCGACACGTGAAAGCGGAAAATTCTGGTCTCCCTCCGGTCACGTGTTGTTGCAACAATATTTATAGGGACGATTAGCAATAAACCTGTCGAAATAATTGATTTTTAAAAATAAAAAATAAAAATAATTAATTTTTTTTATTTTGTGTTTCTGTCAAAAATAATTTATTCAAAATATTCTACTTCATAGTGTGAGATTTTTCTTTTATAGAAAAATATAAGAATAAAATATATTTAGTTATATATATTTTATGTTATATATATATTTAGTTATATAGTTATATATATTTCAGTTATATATATTTAGTATTTCGTTAGATGTTAAATGCCATTGTTATCTGCTCTTCAGTCCTAGATAAATGCGGTGGGTTAATTTATTAATTGCTACCTTGTAGCGCAGCATAATTCCGCGATCCTTCCGTTTACGCTTGTTAATGCAACGTTCCAGAAGCGATTCACTGTCCGCGGTCTTGCAACAATAGCGAACCGATGCTTTTGTTCTGCTGTTGCTCGCAAAGGAAATAATTAATAACAATGGAGGCGCGTAACATACAATCGCGCGATGGGCAACCTTCGTCGTTCATTTGAATACGACTATACGATATCGTCGTTGATCTAGGCACGTTGAAAAAGGGCACGACCGCGTTTAGAGAAAGTCACTCTTTGGGTTAATCCATGACTGAGCGAAGCGACGTAATGGAGTTGGGGATGCAGCGTTGCTAACATAAGTTGCGAGACAAAGTGAATAAGCGCAAAGCGTGGATAAAGGGTCGAGAGATATAATGAAATGTAAAAGTAAGATACATGAAAAAAGAATGCGAGTTTCTCTCTTCTCTTCCGAGAAGAGCGGAAGCATGATAATTGAAAAAAACTCGCTTATTCGCAAAAGATATTTTCTTTTTCGAGATAAATCTTTCCTTCCAAGGAAATTCAATGGAAAAGTCAAGGAAAATAGATAAAGTCGATCAAGTTGAAATTTATAGGAAAATAAGGGGAAAGGAAAATTTGATCTTATTTAAGCGATTTTTTTTTCAAATAGTATAGATATTGTTTATATAAAATTAAGATAAAATTGTTTTACGCGATTGCTGTTAATTTTCCAAAAATATCATGTCTTTTAAATATTATTTAAGATATAATATTTTATTTATAATATTATATTTAGTTTTGAATATAATTATACAGAAAAAAAGGACATTCTTGTTTTGAAAATATATTTAGTTTTACAACATGGAAATCTCGAAATGAAATTATATTGCATTAATTAAAGAAAAATATAATTGCTTGAATAATTGCCTACTTGAATAAAGCTATTTTGTATAGTTTCAATCAAGAAAAGTATATTCTTATTAATTTCAGATTTAAGATTTAATTTTCTTGAATAGAAAAGAAACAATGTTAGATAGAAAATAACATTTTTAAATCCAAGATTATAATTTTCTTAAAGTAGAATTAAATAATTATATATTCTTGAGTTGACAATTACAATATTAAAATAAGACTATAATATTGTTAAAATTTAAAATTATTAAATTCTTCTAAGAAGATTATAAATTGTTGCATACATATGAAACAATGTACGCGTTAGTTTAAGTATAAATTTTGATTTGGCAATTACTTTTTTCTGTGTAGCATACATAAAGATGTAAAATATTTTCCTCTTCTCTTTAATTCTTAACAAATTTTTTACTAAAGGTACAAGAAAAATTATAAACCCCTTTGCAGTCGCTATTATTCAAACAAGGTACAGCTCTATTGTAACGTGAGCTTATTTAGCTGTCAACATTAAAATAATTTAAGCATTTGAATTTTCTCCGTCTTACTTTTTATTCCATAAATGATCAAACGCGCCCTAATATCAATTGCATGAAAATCATCGTGATTCTCGTATCGAAATACAAAGGTCCGAGGAGGAAATCCTTAGCTCGTTGGAGGATTGATGTAACCGCGATATTACTATCGATATAGGCCCGTTGAGAAAGGGCACGACGTGTTTAGAAAGTCACTCTCTGCGAATTGATACGCGAACCGCTGCAAGCGCGTTGCAAAAGTAATCGGGTCGTTGGGTGCACGAATGGCCTCTTCTCTCTCTCTCTCTCTCTTCTTCTTCTTTTGTCTCTCTCTCTCTTTCTCTCTCTCTCTCTCTGTCCTTTCTCTCTTTCCTTATGTTCTGCGGCGAGATGTGCGGGATTTGAACAAATTTCAGTCGTTATATCGGCGAAACACTTCCCACGCGCGACTCGCGCACAATAAGGTGAGAGCCACGCCGTGTCGGTCGCATTACACATCCGGAAAGCCGTCGCAGTTATGCGTGTTGCTCTGTGACGAAATCCCCTCAATGCTTCGCTGCTCGTCCGCGATGCCAGGTTTCCAAACGCGATTTACGTTTGGAGAAATTGGAAATTCAGCGCGAGGACAACGAAATCGGCGGCGAGATTCGAATGCGAATCCTTACGTAAGTGGGACGGAGGAATTCCTTTCTAAAAATGTCGAATCTTATTTATTTGTTACGTATAGATTACATTTATTCATAATTAAAGTCTGAGTTGAGCAATGACGGGGATATTGGAGAAATCTTCAACTTGCAGAGACTTATCTTGGCTGTATTAAAGTCTTTCTACTACGCACATCGACTTCTCAACGCGTGCCTTCTGCATAGTGTCATAAGAATGTCAGGTTGAAAGTAAAGATGAAATATAGGGAAGATAAGATCTAGAGTAGAGTAAGTACTGATTCACACAACGGCCTCAAACATCTCATTCAAATGGAGAGGCTAAATTTTAACTATAAATCAGTCAGTCCTTACAAAATGCTTACTCCAAGATCTCTACTCGTCTCTCGGATGACACACAAAAGGTTGACATAAATTTTATTACAATCTCAGCTTATTATTGATCTCATACTAGTTGTGAAACCCGCAGCTTTTTACAAACGTATGTTAAAGAATCTATTTTTAGGATATCTTTGACATTCTTCTTGAATGAAAATATGAGTCATTTATAAATGTATAGTGTCATGTATCCACAATGTCTGTGTCTCTTTCACAATTTATCCTCTTCGTATTCAATTCCTTACACCTGCGAGCAAAGTACACTCGTATTCCAAGACATGAGAGGAATTACCGAGCTTCTTTCAATCCCCGCATTCCTGCAATTATCTTTCTACGATTCCGTAATCGCGGCATTCAGTCATCTCATCAAGGTGGAAGTCATGCAGACGGATACAACATGACAAAGTATACAGCTAATGCTTTCAGGCACGTATATAAACGCGTGTTTCATTTTTTCAATCTAACTGACAGTATTTTGCTATTTATATTAGTATTAATATACAATTTATATTAAATACATTATTTTAAATTTAAATATATGTATATTAAGAAGAAAGGACATATTTGTCTTGAGAATATAAAAATCGAAGGTTTAATTTTTTTTATAAATTATTATACACTTTTGAATAATTATTAAACACTTGAAATAAATACTATATTTGTTTATTAATAAGATATTGGCCACCACTTGCCTTTAATATAGCTTCAATTTTCCTTGGAATAGAATCATGCAATTTTGAATAGTCTCTAGTGAAATATTGTCTCATTATTCTATCAAATAATGCTATTTTTCAAGATGATAACGTACCTATGGCTAGAAAAGTTCAATCTTGATTTAGACAGTATCAAAGTGAACTTCAACATCTTCTCTGGCCAGCACAATTACTCGATTTAAATATCACCATGGGCAGTTTTGGAAAAGATAGGGAGAAGCAAATTTTCTTCTCCAACAATTCTCTGAAGCAATTGGCAGGTATTTTGATAAAAGAATAGGACAATATTTCATTGGAAATTATTCAAAAATTGTATGACTATTCCAAAAAAAAAATGAAGCTAATATTAAAGATAAATAGTGTCCCAACATTTTATTAATAAACAAATATAATTTATTTTTCAGATGTTCACATTTTGATTATCCTCTGTACGTTATTTAAAAATTTCTTAAGTTTAAAATTCACATATACAGGGTGTCCCATTTTAATGCCCCACCCCAAATAACTTTCTTATTTTTAATTTTAGAAAAAGATGTTTCAGACAAAAGTTGTATGGTTTCAAGGGGGACATAAGGTGGTGTCATTAGTTTGACCTTGAAGAGTCACATGAAGATTACGTGAAGGTCATTTTGAATTTCTTAAATGGAACACCCTATATATTTTTGCATATTCTTGTAGCTTATCTCGAGAGCTTTCCAAAACACTATAAATAAACATTTTTTCATCAAGTACTTTTCGAGTTATGAGGCTTGAAATCATTTCTTAATTTTACATAAACCATAAAATATCTTGTAAAATATTCATTTTTCGATTATCTTACCTTCATACTTTTATGTACAAAATAATGAGAGGAATCAATTGGTGTAAAGAAAACATACAGTTGTTTTTAAGAAAAAATATGAAATTGTTAATTGCAAATTACATATTTTTTCTTAAAAATAACTGTATGTTTTCTTTACACCAATTGATTTCTCTCATTATTTTGTACATAAAAGTATTAAGGTAAAATAATCGAAAAATAAATATTTTACAAGATATTTTATGGTTTATGTAAAATTAAGAAATGATTTCAAGCCTCATAACTCGAAAAGTACTTGATGAAAAAATGTTTATTTATAGTGTTTTGGAAAGCTCTCGAGATAAGCTACAAGAATATGCAAAAATATATAGGGTGTTCCATTTAAGAAATTCAAAATGACCTTCACGTAATCTTCATGTGACTCTTCAAGGTCAAACTAATGACACCACCTTATGTCCCCCTTGAAACCATACAACTTTTGTCTGAAACATCTTTTTCTAAAATTAAAAATAAGAAAGTTATTTGGGGTGGGGCATTAAAATGGGACACCCTGTATATCAATATTAATATATTGAAAATATTCACTTTTTATCTATCAAATATTAAATATTTTTCTTACATATGACGTTTTCTCAATCATTTCTATATTTATCGAGTTTTTTTTGCTCTCAAGATTTCCTTTACAAACATATATATTTTCTTCCAAAAATTCTATATTAATTAGCTCTGTATTATTTAATTAACACAAAAGATCGTGAGAGACAAGAGAAAAACGCGACAAATTTGCATATGGTAAGCAAAATAATACTTGTCGCGGTATAAATTAAGAAAATAGATTATTATACGTTTATATATTATTGTCTCGATGGCCATTGCGGGGAGGGGAGGGCGGATGTGGGATGGCGCGCCTCCCGCGGGGATCGCGGGGGTGGAAGTGCTTTCTAGTCCGCGGTGTCCTGGGTGCCACTGGGTGCTCTCTCCGGACCGGAAGTCACGGTACACGGGGGTCGTGCGCGCGAAGCGTGGAAACCCGCATCGACGTGGCATTCCTCTTCCTCCTGTCCTCCTTCCTCGGCCCCCTTCGCGCGCCGGACAAGCTTCGGTCCTCTCGAGGCTACGCCCGCACGCCGGAAAACAAAGGGCTCTCTCCTTCAGCGATCTCCTTCGGGGTGATCTCACTCTCTGGCTCCCTTCTTCACGCGTGTTTAATTATTACTTGCTACTTATCACGACTTTCCATCAGCAGAAAAGAAAGACGGAGGTTGGGGTCGTTGACCCGTTACTTGCTCTGCTGAAACTTTTCAAGTTCGCAGAAGGCAAACTTGTTGCTTTCGTGTAAATAAAAAGAGAAGCCGTTCGAGTTCGCGATGGAGAAATTCTGTAGATGGAATTTATCAGAGATAGCGAAATCCCTTATCAGAGAAAGAATCAGAAGCTGTTGTTATTATTGCTATTATTACCGGAGAATAATCAGATAAAGCTTCAAGTCTATACATTTCTCATGCTACACGTGATACACAAGAGACATTACTTTCTCAGTCCCAAATGAATGAACTCCGAAATATTATTGACAGTTTTGCAAACACGCTGGTGATTAATGCGATCCCATTATTCCTTTTACAACCGCGAAGGAATACATTTACATACTTTTGCATCATTCATAATATCTGAAAAAAAAGAAGAACGGGGGGAAAACGCTCTCTCCAACGTTCCGGTTAACATTCTACGGTCGTTGGAGCGCAGACCCGCATTACGCAAACCCGGCCAAGATTAAGCCCGCATTTTTCCGTGCTTGCAGCCAGCCACCGGAAGCGGAATCGGCGACTGGCGTCGAGGACGGGTGCTCCGATGGTTCCGAAGTGGATTGGTCTTGGCTCGAGGAAGTGGAGTGCCTGCGGACCGCGGAGCCTCTCGCCAGCGGTGAACGCGACGGCGAGCAAGAGGGGGACGCTCCTTCCCCCACTGATGAAGGCGGGGGACGCAGGCGCGCCTGCGATCGTCGCGAGACGGCGGCAACCCGCAGTGCCGCGATGTCCGTCACCGCGACGGCAAAGTCCCCGGCAATCGGTGGCTCGCGGTGGCCATCCCCCGGAGGCGCGCTTTTCCTCGATCGTCAAAACAACAACAACGTCGGTCGGCATCGCAATGTCAACAACACCGACGAGGACGTCGACGGCGACGACGACAACGAGGCCGAGCGCTGCAACGCTACGAACGAGGCGGTCGATCGCGAAAATCGCTACGGCCCGACGACGACGACGACGACGTCGGCGACCGCCACTAGCTCCTCGACCGCCGGCTCTATCGCCGCTACCGCCAACTCGTGGATGCGCGCGTCCATGCGGCGTCTGCGTCACCTGCGGCTACCCGAAGGCGCGACGCGCGAGCCGGCCAATCGGCGAGCCGCGTCCGTCTCGGCGCCGAATTCGCTGCCGGACATCGCGCTGATCGCCCCGGAGATACTCGCGGCGCAGACGAACGGCGGGACTTCCGGCGCGCTGCTGCGACCCTCGAGCGCGCCCGCGAGAAACGCGGCCACCCCCGCCCCCGCCAGCGTCGCGACGCCGCGTCGTGCCGGCCGGCAGTTCACCGGCGGTGGCAGGTCGCGGGACGCGCGAAATCGGGAAGCAGCCTCCTCGAGGCAGGGCAGCCTCGGCTCCACGACCACGGCCAGCGATATTACCGCGTCCGGCAACACGACCTGCTCCAGCGCCGCTTCCACCAGCCCAGCCTCCAGCACGGTGACCACTCCGCAACGTGCCACTTCGAGAAGGTCAGTGCACGATTTTATAGTCGAGGGGATGATAGTTGGGAACGTGGAAAGATGTGATAGATTTATGATGGATGAGTTTGCTGGGAAATATCCTTTCTTAGGACATTTCTTCGGTAGAGAAAAGTGAGATATAAAATTGCAATGATAATAAACGATATACGGATGTGAGCTTCACGTTAGGAGTGGATGTAGCACTTAAAAGCAATGAAAAATATTTGCATAAATTTATGGTTTAATTTAATTAATAAGTTTTGTACAATCGATATCTGCTTATCTTTGCAGAAGATATTTGAAACTAGTATCTCCTGTAGACTTGATTACATTCTTGTAAACATTTTAACATTGCCTAAGTTTATTTTATCGGATCTTCCAAGTGTTTTGTAGATTTACTAGAACCTTGTTCACTTTTATAGGTCAGATATAAATCAGATTAAATATATGTTTTCATAATTTTCAACTGCTATAAATCTATTATTGTAATAAGTTTTGGATATACAGCTTGAAATATGATGTATAGAAAATGTATTTGAGATATTAGAACAACTTTCAAAAAAGTGTTTCTATTAATACGAAAAAAATTTATACCAAAATATATCCGCAAATGTTTAGTTTCCGAGAAGAAAACGTTGTATACTATTCGTTGAATGCTAAATTAAGATCCATTAATAAACATCGCACTGTCCAACTTGAATAATGTGTGTACAACATATTATAAAATAAATAAAAATCGTCACTACGATCGATTATAAAATTTCGTACAGTTAAAGATAAATACAAATATTCGATAATTTTTCAATATTTTTTTAATTGCGCAAGGTATTCAACCTTTGTGGTCGGCTGAATTCTCGTTTCATTCAGACTTTTCTTTTCTAGAAGAAAAGTCATCCTTTCTCTCATTTATTCGGATCTCTTTGCCAGAAGCGAGAATGGAGTTAACGACATGGTTATTTGTTACATGTCACTTGCTATTCGTTCAAGCTTGACACTTCGCGCTTTGATTCTTTGTTTGTGCAATCAGCTGATACACTTCACGAATCAGACGTTTTGGAAATTAGATAAAAAAATTATCTTTACATTTTGGAGTTTTCGTTTACTGGTTAAATTACATTACCAATTTTTGACAATTCTTTCACGTTTTTTTTCGTGCAATCAATGCTTTTGCAGATTTGTAGACAATTAGTCAACATTGTTGTATATTTTTGTTGTACATTTCATTAAATATAAATATTTTATCACATTTATACGCACGAAAGAGCGATTATATCTCTTATTTAATGATAAATAATTGATTAAATGTTTAAAGTACACAAAAAATGAAAATATTTGTGTGTATATGTTTTGTATAGAATTTATTTTGTCAGCAAATATGAAAAAATATTGATATAGAGGAGCATTGACACGCAAATTATAGAAACGATAATGGAAAGAAATTGTTTTTATATAGTACAGAAACAGGAGATCGATCTCTTTTATTTCATATTTTCTGTACAAAAGTCCTTGACGCATGTCGGATGTTGTCATAGATTTCAGCTGCAGATCTCGCTTGTTCACAATATGTCAGGACATTCAGTTTCATCGGAAATTTTCAGTCGTATTGTATCATCAATAACACACATATACATACATGTTTTGCCAAAATACCAATATTATTTTCCTTCTTTCAATGTTTCGCTTGATCAACGCTTAATTAAATATAAACTCGATCGAAACAATATTGAAAGTATTATTTTTCGGTCAAAAAAACACATGTGTTTAATGAGTTGTTTTTAATTATTTCGGTAAATTAATCTGGGATAATTCACGTGGGATGAATATGTATTCGGTGAATCTATCATTTGCCCGGCAATTAATTAATTATAAATCGTGACTCATTTTTGCCACCAACGACTCGACGAGTTCCATTTGCAGTTTGCATTAAACATCACGGATGCGAGAAAAAAGACTCGAGATACGCTATTATTCTGTCGTAACAGTTACTTTAAACGCATTAAAAGGCGCGAGTCACGTGCGAAATATAATTTATCACATCAAGATAACGGCATTCATTTATAGCGACAAAAAACTTATCGTCATCAATCTCTCAAGTATTTTTCGATACACTTGCCTCAATTAGAGGCTCTCTCCGTTGGACATAAATCGTCGTCCTTGGACGACAAGCGCGAAATATTACGATTCGCAAACAGTCGATGATGAAAATTCAATATTTAAGATAACACGTAGTTCGATACTTTACACGCGCGTGTGATTTATGTACACAAAAGAGAATCGAATTTATTCCAAGATACACGAGGTACCCCTACCTTTAATATCCTCGAAATAACGATACGATCGAGTTGGCGGAGATCGAAGATTTCGTCAAGATCGAAAGGGTCGACGATCTCGATCGTTCGGAGATCGTTTTGCCGTCGATGAACCGTGTAACCTGTTGTGCAATCCTCCGCTCTCCTGTACCGAACAGAGATCTCTCCCTGTCTCTCTCTTTATCGGGGATGACGGAAGGAGCGGCGATTTACGCGCGTCGATTTTCCATGCACAGCGTGAGAAGGCAAAGCAGCGGCAACTCTCATAACGGATGCGCGAGATGTTTGTCGTTGTTCTATCTATTTATTTGGATACACCTATCACATAAAAATACACTAATAATAATCAGGATACGAGGGGTGATTCATTAGATAACGCTCGATCGCGCATCTTTAATTCAAACGAGATTTATAGATTGTCTGACGATTGTACTATTTTGTAATTATATTTTAATTGTATTATTAGTAATTATATATTCGATCGAACCACTAATAAGCTGAGAAAAATTGGAGAAAGTAAACTGAAATGTGCATCTTTTTTATTTATTCGATAATTAATTATATTGTTCTTTTCTTTATATATAATTAATATACTATCTTTCTATTAATCTATTATTATATAATATAATTATTATATAATAAATTAATTTAAAAATTAAAATAATATAGAAAGAAATAATAAAAAAAATAAAAAAAATTATAAAAGTAATTGAAATAATATAAAATAATATTGATTTAAAAATTAAAATAATATAAAAATTATACATATAAATATATATATAATATATATTTAATAATTTATTTATTCGATAATTAATTATATTGTTCTTTTCTTTATATATAATTAATGTACTATCTTTCTATTAATCTATTATTATATATAATTATTATATATAATTATTATATATAATTATTATATAATAAATTAATTTAAAAATTAAAATAATATAAATAGAAATAATAAAAAAAATAAAAAAAATTATAAAAGTAATTGAAATAATATAAAATAATATTGATTTAAAAATTAAAATAATATAAAAATTATACATATAAATATATATATATATAACATATATTTAATAATATAATATATTTAATAATTAATACAATATCTATTAATCAATATATCAGAAAGTTTTATGGATACTTCCTGAAAGCGAGAAATGCGTTCTAAAAAAAATCCTATACACAAACACCGGAGATTTATCGAGACTGACTCTAACTCTGATATCGACAATGCGCAAGCACATTGAATAGGATTTAACAGGATTAACAGGATCTCGGCAGTCATCTGCGAAGCGCGTGACTCGAGTATAATAATGAACGAAATCCGCGCGAGACGCGGCTTCCCTGTCAATGAACCGTGCCAAAGCGCCGTTTCCTCGCTCGTAGAGGCCGCGATTTATATCCCACCCGTTCCGGCTCCCGTCCAGGCTGTGCTCCGAGAAAGTCCAAAGAGACGGCCGTTCCTCGCGGACCGTGACCGTCGAAACATCGTCGTCGACACACCTACTCCCTTTCGTTTAACGCTGCGATTTAAGGCGCGCCGCAATTTCCCCGATCAAACTGTGCACTCGCGCATCGATATTACTTAATCCGTATTTCTAACCGTATTTCTGGACGATCTATTCAATGAATCCGATATGCGAAGGGGGATACGTATTTCAAAGATTTTACGGGATATTGGATGAAGAACGAATTTAAATAAAGGACGATATTGGAAAGCGACTAACTTTCTAACACACGAGTGACAAATTTGATTTCGATATCTGCCATAAAAAATTATTGAAGTTAGATTCGCATGTTATCGGGACGATATCTATATATCTGAAAGATTTTTCAGGATATTTTATGAATGTGATCGGATGAAGAGCGATATTTTTTATAGATAATCGTTAAAAAATAATACACGCGTAAGTTTTACTTCGATAAAAGCCAAGAATTTTTCTTGAAGAAAGTTATAAAAGCCACGTGTCTTATCGGAGGGATACGTATCTCAAAGATTTTATGGGATATTTGATGAAGAACGAATTTAATAAAGGATGATATTTTCTGTTGATCGTTGAAATAGTTTTCAACATTTATCTTTCTCTCTTTCTTAAAGTTTTGAAAGAAAATATCTTGGTAAATCTCAAGATAAGAAACTTTATTATCTTGAATTTAAAATCTAAAATTAATCGAAGAATATTTTTATTAATTTATTTAAATATTTCTTTAAAACACAACTTGTTGAAATTTCTTTTATCAGTTTTAACACTAATATTACCCGTCTTGTCTCGGCAATTATGTCGGATAATCTAAAAATATCTTTTAAATTATTTAAAAAATCGCGTCAAAATTTAAAAAAAATTCTTTACAGAAGGAAATTTGCTAAATGCTCGATATTTTCCTTGCAGCATTAAAAAGAGATAGAATATCGTATTACTACAGATTACCGTATAAAACGGCGTTGATGAGAAATCTCGTCACGACACAATTACACATGTTAACGACGCGTTCTTTCGTAATTGCTCGGATTCTTCGACAATGGGCGTATTTGGGTCAGTTAGTTACTACGAGAGTATACCGTGTCGACCGACGACGGTGCATTGCCTCTTTCATGCAAGTTACCTTAACGGTATACTGACGTTTATAGTTGCGGGTATTTCCTTGCGTCGATGTGTTCCGTAATCACCATGAGTTCACCGGAATAAGAGGAGC